TGGTGAAAATGGTCATACTGCCCAAAGTAATTTACAGATTCAACACTATCCCCATCAAGCTACCTATGACCTTCTTCACAGAACTGGAGAAAATCACCTTAAACTTCATATGGAACCAAAAGAGAGCCCACATAGCCAAACAATCCTAAGAAAAAAGAACAATGCTGGAGGCATCATGATACCTGACTTCAAACTATGCTACAAGGCTACAGTAATCAAAACAGCATGGTACTGGTACCAAAACAGAGATATAGACCAATGGAACAGAACAGACACCTCAGAAGTAATGCCACACATTCTACAACCACCTGATCTTTGACAAACCTGATAAAAACAAGCAATAGGGAAAGCATTCCCTATTTAATAAATGATGTTGGGAAAACTGGCTAGCCATATGCAGAAAGCTGAAATTGGACCCTTCCTTAACACCTTATAAAAAAAATTAACTCCAGGTGGATTAAAGATTTAAACATAAGATCTAACATCATAAAAAGCCTAGAAGAAAACTGAGGCAATACCATTTAGGACATAGGCATAGGCAAGATCTTCACGACTAAAACACCAAAAGCAATGGCAACAAAAGCCAAAATAGAAAAATGGGATCTAATTAAACTTAAGAGCTTCTGCACAGCAAAAGAAACTATTATTAGAATGAACCAGCAACCAATAAAGTGGGAATAAAAATCTGCAAGCTACCCATCTGACAAAGGGCTAATATCCCGAATCTACACAGAACTTAAACAAATTTACAAGAAAAAAACAACCCCATCAAAAAGTGGGTGAAGGATATGAACAGACCCTTTTCAAAAGAAGACATTTATGCAGCAAACAAATATATGAAATGACCTTTTGAAAAGGCAAGGGAAGTAGGGGAGAAACTATCAACCAAATATTACATAACTGGCAAAACTGTCCTTCAAGAATGGATAATTCGAAACATCTCCAGATACAGAAACTGCTATTGAAAACATGCAAATTAATCCACAGTAAGATATCATTTCACATCTACCAGGATGCTTATAAGTTAAAATACAATAACAATAATAAATAAAATAAGAATTATAGAAGATGTAGAGAACTGGAACCCCTGTATGTTGCTAGTAGGAATGTAAAATGTTGCAACCACTGTGGAAATCACTATGTGGTTACAAAGAAAGTTAGGCATAGAATTACCATAGAAACTAACAATTCCACTCATAGAAATATACTTAAAAGAATTTTAAGCAGGAACTCAAACAAATGCTTATGCATGCTCATAAGAGCATTATTCAAAATAGCCAAAGGTAAGAACCACTCATAAACAGATGAATTAATAAATGAAATATGGTATAGAGAAACAGTGAAATATTATTCAGCCAAAAAAGAAAAAAAATCTGATCAAGGCTACAACATGAATAAGCCTTAAAAACATTATGCTAATAGAAATAAGCCAGACTCAGACAAATATTGTATGTTTATACATATAGGAAAAACCTAAAATAGGCAAATTCATAGTGACAGAAGGTAATTTAGAGGTCTCCAAGGGTTGGGGATAAGGATAGGGAGTTACTGCTTAATGGGTAGAGATGACATTTGGGGCAATTTTTCTAAAGTTTCAGAAGTAATAGTGATTATCGCACAACAATGCAAATGTATCTAATACCAGTGAAATGTTCATTTATCTCCAAAAAGCAATGTGTACCAAAAGATACACTCAACAGCACTATAGGTAAATCCAGAGAGAATTTAAGAAATGTTAAAGTCGCCCAGAAATGGTAGCAAAAATGAAAAGGAGAAAAAAAGTAGAAAGAGCAAACAGAAAATAAAATAAAAATGGCAGAAGTAAGTCTTAACACCACAACAAGGATTTACAAGTGGGTTTAAAAACATAATTCAGCTATATGAAGCTCAACTAAGGAAAAATCACTTCCAATGTAATGATTCAGGTAGCTTAAAAGCTAAAAAAGAAAAAAAATATGTATACAAACATTAATCAAAAGAAATCAGGAGTGACTATTAAATCAGATAAGGAAGACATACAATTGATGAAAATTGTCAGAGACATAGAGTGGCAATAGGCAATGATGAAAAAGATCAGTCCACTAAAATGTATAACGTTCATAATTCTGTATGCATTAAATAACATAGCTATTACATATATAAAGCAAAAATCATAATAAACCTGAAAAAGAGTCAATGCCACTAAATTGGAAACTTCAACATTCAACAACTGAAACAGAAAGTAGACAGAAAATTAGCAAGATACAGAAAAACTCAACAACACTCTCAACCAACTATATTTAATTAATATAATATATACAGAGAACATTCTATCTTACAACAGCAGAATACACATTATTTTCAAGTGCCCATGAAACATACACTAAGATACACAACATCTGGAGCCATACAGCAAACCTACCAAAAACTTAAAAAAGAGTTTATCTTTCAACTACAAAAAACTTAATGTAGAAAATAATAGAAATATAAAAGAAAAATCTCTAAACACTTGGTGTAGAAGTTATCTTCTATGGCAAAAAGAAACTTATGGATGTAATTAGCTTAATAATATTGAGATGATGATATTTTTACTTATTATATAGGTGAAGCATAAATGTAACTACAGGTGTTGTTATAAAAAGGGAGCAGAGAGAGCGTTAACTCTGTAAGAAGAACAATGTAATAACAGGAGCAAAGTCTGAAGTTATGTGGCCATAAGCATACATGCCAGCAGACACCAAAAAAGTGTAAGAAGAAAGGAAAAAATTCTTCCATAGAAACTTCAGGTCTGCTCACATGTTGAATTTAGCCCCAAAGACTCAGTTTGGATTTCTGGCCTCCGGCATTATAAGATAATAAATTTCTGTTGTAAGCTACTAAGATTTGGAATTGTTTGCAGCAAGAAACAGAAACTAATATACAAGAAAATGTAAACAAATGAAAAACACTCTAAGTAAGCTATGAGTGAAAGAGCAAGTCTCAAGAAAAATTTTAACAATGCATTGAATGAAAATAAAAATACAGCATAAAATTTGTGAGACAAAACTGAAGCAGTGCTGAGATGGAAAATGATAGCATTGCATGCATGCAATGGGAAGAAAAGTCTCAAGTCAACAATCTAAGTAAGGCTCTACCTCAAGAACCTAGAAAAAAAATAGGTCAAACTTTTTTTGTCTAGATTTTGATTAGATTTATCTAATGTAGGCAGAATAATGGAAATAATGAATAAAAAGGGCAGAAATCAGTTAAATTAAAAACAGAAAAACAATAAGAAAAATATATAAAGCAAAAAGCTGGTTCCTTGAAAATGTCAATAAAATTAACAAAACTGTAGCAAAATTGACAAGGAAAGAAAATGGGACACACAAATTTACAAGACTAAGAATGAAGTGAGAAAACACTACAGAATGCGTAGACATCAAAATTATGATAGAAAATGCTGCAATCGACTCTAAACACATAAATTTGACAACTTAGATTAAATGGGCACATTTCTTAAAAAACACAAATTGTCACATCTCATCCAATTTGAAATATAAATAGATATTTTAAGCATTCTTACAATTATTAAAGAAATTGAATTGAAAATAAGAAACTGTCAATAAAGAAATCTCCAGACCCATATTGCCTTATTGGAGAATTGTGTGAAATGTTCAGAAACAGTTAACACCATTTTGTACTATCACTTCCCTAAAAAGGAATAGAATGGGGTATATTACAATTCATTTCATGGAGCTAGTATTTAAAATCAGAAAAAAACACAAAAGAAAAAAAAGCCCTACAAACGAATATCTCTCATGACTATAGTTCCCAATTATGGTTAATAAAATATTAGCAAGTGAAATTCAGTATTCTATACAAAGAATAATACTGTACCATGACCAAGTGGGTTTTTGTTCCAGGGATACACAGCTAATTCTATATTTATATGTCATCCATGTCATCCACAGATGACTAAATATATATATATATATATATATATATATATATATATATATATATATATATATATACCAATGCAGAATAAACATTTGAAAACATTTAACACCAATTTATAGGAAAAATTCTCAACAAATTAAGTATGAAGGAGAACTTTCTCAACTTAAGAAGGTGTGCTATGGACTAGGTTATGTCTCCCCAAAATTTAAATACTGAACTCCTTATCTCCAGTGTGACTGTATGTGAAGATGGAACTTTTATGTGGTAATTAAGGTTAAGTGAGGTCGTACAAGTGGTTCTACTTGGGTAGGACTAGTGTTCTTCCAAGAAAATGCACCACAGAGAGCGTCCTTGCTTTCTCTTCACACGCATGCTCCATGGAAAGGCCTTATGAGGATGTGGCAGCAAGATAGAGCCCTCCCCAGATTCCAGGCATGCTGGCATTCTGTTCTCTGACTTTCAGCCTCCACAGCTGTAAAAATAAGAATCTGTTGTTGAAGTTGCTCAGCTTATGATATTTCTTATGGTAGCTCAAGCTGACTAGTACAAAGAGCACTGAGAAAAATAATACAGCTAACATTATAGTTAGTCGTGAAAGACTAAGTGCTTTCCTTTTAAGATTGTGAGCAAGGCAAGGATGTCCAGTCTCACCCCTTTAACATCGTGCTGGAAGTTCTAGCAAGTGCGGTAAAACAAGAAAAGAAAACAGAAGGACTATAGATCAAAATGGCAGAAATAAAACTGTGCCCCTTTGCAGAATGATATGATTTCTGAGGAAGAAAATTACAATAAATCTACAGAAATGTTTTAAATCATTGAGTTCAGCAAAGTTGAAGTTTTGTTTTTGTTTTTTCATGGCTCCTGTTTTATTGCCTTGTAGCATCCGGAGCACCTGACTGTCCCGGGGTCTAACAACTTAAGGTGTCGAGAACAGGTCAGGGCAAGGGGCTGCAGAGGAGGGGCTGGGCCCAGTGGCTACGAAATACACCCCCGCCCTGCAACAAGCAGGCCGGAGGAGCCCAGCCCGGGCTGGTGTGGGAGGGGGCGGGCAGGGGGTCTGGGGAAGAGGGCACCCCACCCACCTCGGAGAGACAGAGCCACGGGCAGCACCACCAATGGAAACGGCAGAGACAGGGACAAAGAGCCAGGAGGACACACGGAGGGGATGGGGGGTAAAGCGGATGGGGGGATGGGGGCATCAGGGAGAAAAAGGCAGGTGGGGCCGGCCAAGGCACGGAGCCCCCGCTGGGCTGGGCTGGGCTGGGCTGGGCTGGGCAGGGCAGGGCACGGCAGGGCCACCAGGGGCCCCAGGTCCGGAAGCCAGGCCCAGCCGAGGTCCTGAGCCACAGGACGCAGCAGCGAGTCTCGCGCGTGTGGTGGTCTCTGAAGCGCAGCCTCTGTTCGGGCCGGCGCTTCTCCAGGTAGGTCAGCTGCTCGCTGTGGATGGCTCCTCGGCGCTTCTGGCGGAGGAGCGGGATGGCGTCCCCGTATTTCGTCCCACGCTCGAGGAGGGCCAGCGCCACCAGGACTGGAGCCCGGCCCGGGCCCCAGCGCAGCGCACAGCCGCGCAGCCGCCGGGGCTCGCGGAGCGCGGCCCTGCCCAGACTCAGCCGTCTCAGCCCGTCTCCCACGACCTCGCCGGGCGGGGGCGCCCCACCGCCAAACGGCCGGTCCGCAACCGCGGCGCGTCCTCCTCCAGCGGCGCTGCGTCCTGGGCCGCTTCGCGCACGCGCACCGCGGTGGGGGCCCCACATTCTTCAGGTCCTCAGTGAGGGCGCTGAGGGGGGCGCTGGGGGGGTTGTGGGTGATGAGGAAGCGCGTGTGTTTGTGGCTCACCTCCGCTGGGGCCGGGCGGTCCGTCCGAGCCGGGGCGCCTCCCGACGCCGGCTACACAGGGCAGAAAGGGGCTGCAGAGAAGGCTGGGGACACAGACCCGACAAGTCCCCGCGGCCCCCCAAAATAAGGAGAACGAGATCCCTGTGCTTGTCCAAGAGAAAGAGATCTTTTAAAAAACCCGCCCCACACCCCGCAAATATTGTGCAAATAACTTGGGCGTGGGGGAGGAAGCTGCCCGGAGTTTGGATAATCAAAAAAGAAAATCCAACTCTTAAAAAAGCAAAGGAACAAAACAGCCCCCCAAAGTGCTGTGGGCAACTCCAAACTCCTGTTTCTCAGAGCTGGATATCATAAAGGGGCAAAACGTAAAAAGAACTACCAAAAAAGCTCAGCAAAGAAAACTTAAAAACCCAAAGTAAATCCAGCCACCAAGCAGTGTCCAGAGCTGGACCCCACGCTCGGGGCGCCCTCTCCAAGTCCTGCCTTAGTCCTGGGTGGGCTAAAGCGTGGACGCTAGTACTAGGTGAGAAGGTCTCCCCCACGCCTGAGGAGCCCTGGTTTCAGCCCTCACAGCTTCATGAATTGCATAGCCTGTTGCCTTTGACTAGGGGCCTGCGTGGCCTCCTTAGCTCTAGGGGCCCCTTTGGGCTCTTGATTCTCCCTGAAGGAGGGATGCATTTCTCTCCCACTCTTCCTGTACCCACATCTGGGGGAAGCTGAGGACGGAGAAACAGCCACAGCTCTCTTCCAGGACTGTCCTCTCTGCCCCAAGCTTTGAGGAAGAGCATCCCCTCCCTCCTTTCCCTGGCCACTGCAAGAAAAAAAAAAAAAAAAAGTTTTTTTTTTTTTAAACCCCTTCTGTTGAATGGTTGCAAACACAAACTTGAGTTCTAATAAAGAATTGCATTTCAAAAAAAAAAAAACAAAAAAAAAACTATAGCATACCCATAAAATGAAATACCACCAAGAAGTAAAAATGAATGAAGTATTGATACACACAACTATGTGAATGAATCTCAAAAAAAAAATTCTGAATGAAATAAGTCAAACAACAACAACAAGAGAAGGTTACACTGTGTAGTTCATTTATACAAAATTCTAGGAAACATAAACTAATAGATAAGACCAGGAAGTCAATCAGTGGTTTATTTGGGATGGGAGAGTCAGTATCCATTTTAGGGGAGCAAACATACACCAAAACCTATTAAATGGCACATTTTAAACATGTAAAGTTTATTTTGTATCGATTTTTTCTTAATATAGCAGTTAACAAAAAGATAATAAGATTAGCAATAAGATAATAACAATAATAAAACATTCTTAAAATGATATCAACAGAGAAATGTAAAGATCCTAGTGGCTTTGAAGGGTTGAGTACAAGGGAAGTGGGTGTGCCTATGAAAGGGTGGAATGAGGGGTCCTCATGATGTCGCAAATGTTCTGCGCCTTTACTATGTCAGTGGCATTCTGCTGGTGGGGATACTGCACTACAGGTTTCAAGTTTTTCACATTGGGGAAGCTGGATAGGGGTAAAAGGATCTCTCCATATTGCTTCTTTCAACTAGATGTGATTCAATAATTCCCTCAATATAAACACTTTAATTTAAAAAAATCCAGCTTCAGTTATGTAAGATGCATAAGTCCTAGAGATCTAATATAATAGCGATGAGGACTATAGTTAATAATACTGTGCTGTATGCTTAAAATTTTCTGAGAGTGGATGCTAAGTGTTTTCACCACACAGAGAAACAGTAACTATATGAAGAGATGGATATGTTGATCAGTTTGACTGTAGTGATGAACTCACTAGGAATATGTCGTATTAGTCAGGGTCCTCCAGAGAACCAATAGTGTAGTGTGAATATGAGGAGATTTATTATAGAAATTGGCTCACATAATTATGGGGGCCAAGGAGTGCCACAATATGCTGTCTGCTACTTGGAGACCCAGGAAAGCTGTTGTGTAATTCAACCAAAGCTTTCTTTAAAAAAAAAAATTAATATATATATAGATATGTATTTTTAAAATTTATTTATTTTACTTTAAGTGCATACTATATCTGGCATTCCTCCCCATGTTATCCCTCCCCACCCTCCCCTTCTCCCCACCCCCCACTGTCTCTTCCCTACCACCCCCAGCTGCCCCAAGTGTGTGAAGCTCCTCTCCCTGAGTCTACGTGTTCTCGTTCAACACCCACTTATGAGTGAGAACATACGGTGTTTGGCTTTCTGTTCTTGTGTCAGTTTGCTGAGAATGATGGTTTCCTCAACCCAAGCTTTCTAATTGTTGGGGGAAAATCTGGGAGTCAATCATACACCAAGCTGGGGGCCAATGCTAAGGGTAATTTGCAGCCTGGCTACTGTGCATGCCCCTCATGGAGACCTGTCCCATTTTGAAAAAAATTTGATTTTCTAACTCTGCATTCACTCTCTTTTCTCCTCCCTGGCTCCTGGATTTATTCATAGGGATTGAACTGCAGAGGCAAGAAGCAGCAGTTCTTTGGTGATCAGTGAGATCTATTGAAATTCTAAACCTTCAGGGAGTTCCAGTGGGCCAGCCCTCACACACTCACTATACGCTCACACCTGCTTGCACCTGTACACTCTTCCTGGCCTGTTGCTGGGTCAGCTAACCAAACTTCACCTCTGGGCAGGCCTCACTGGTACCATCCCTATCCCTGGTCTCAGACCTTCTGGCCTGGGTGGGCCTGACCTCACTGGGCCACACCCTCCACCCTAGGCCTGAGGTTAGAGCAGGGGCCTCCATCTGGAGGGTAATCTGAGTCCTCACAGCTTGAGCCTGCGCCAGTGGTCTCTGATTCTGGTTGTGGCCAGGGGGGTCCACCTCTTGTCACTGTCTGGCTGGCTGTGTCGTCACTGCACTCTGAGAGTCAGTCCTCACTGCAGTCCCCACTGTTCCCTGCCTCCTAGTCTGGGAGCCTTCTCTCTGTCAGAACCATCTGCAGCCACAGGGAGAAAATGTGTGAAGGTGTGGGGAAAGGACGGTAAACTTCTGTCCTAACTGCTGTTCTAATACCTGCCTAAAGTCATTGGAGCCCAAATTGCTTCATACATTTTAAAACCAATTTTGAGCTAGCCGAGTAATTATTGTAATGCATTGTTCAGTTAGTCAGGAGGGCTGGGTCCTCCTTTCCCCCAAAAACAAAAACAAGAACCTCAAGCACTATAAAGTGTATCTTCATTGTATAGGTATCTGTTGTTTCCTGCAGACGATCAGCTGTCACTGAATTCTCAACTTTATTTTGTTGTGTTGCTAAGACTAATTTTCTTTCTTTCTTTTTTCTTTCTTTCTTTCTTTTTTCTTTCTTTTTTTCTTTTTTTTTTTTTTTGAGACAGTCTCACTCTGTTTCCCAGGAAGGGGTACAGTGGTACAATCTCAGCTCACTGCAACCTCCGCCTCCTGTGTTCAAGCAATTCTCCTGCCTCAGCCTCCCAAGTACCTGGGACTATAGGCACCCACCACCACGGACCTGGCTAATTTTTGCATTTTTAGTAGAGAAAGGGTTTCATTATATTGGCCAGGCTGGTCTGGAACTCCTGACCTTGTGATCCACCGGACTTGGCCTCTCAATGTGCTGGAATTACAGGCATGAGCCACCGTCCTGGGCAAGACTAATTTTCTAATTAAGGCACATGTGTGATGCCAAGCAGGCTTGCCTGACTTTGTGGAAGTCTCTGGTCCTGCTTTGTCTAACAATCTTGAATGTGCTGGACAAGCAACTGTCAGAAGTGACAGCTGACAGGATTGTGGAATAGGCATGTGGGGAGCAAGTGACCTCAATCCCACCTCTGCAGGAAGGTTCCAGCCCACCAGGACCCCTGCCTGCATGCCTGAGTCTGGCCCTTCCTCCCCAACCTGGTGCACCTCTGACACCCCAGGGAGAAGGCTGCAGAGAGAGTGCTGGTGGCTCCTGTCCTGCTCTGCCGGGGAGGCTGCCCAGGAGACAGTAGCAGGCTCAGTGGTGGGTGCTCCAGGTTCTGGGCCAGGTGGGAGCTGGGACTGCAGGGAGCAAGGGTGAGGAAGACGGCGGTGCTCGTGTAAGTGTACAGGTGCACACATGTGTGTGTGTGTGTGTGTAGGTGTTGGTTTCTCTGCATTTACTCTCACATGCTAACTTTCAACCTCCCCAAACAAAAACTGTAACTCTCTGCAAAGTGATATACCTGGGAGTCTTCACTAAAGATGCAGGCTCAGACTCGGCCTCCTCTCCTGGGCTCCAGGTGCAAATGGGGAGGGGCAGTGCTGAGAGATGCTGGGGGAGTTTGCTTAGAGAGGCTGGGCTGGTGGAGAGGGAATGTTCTCGCATTTTAAACAGCGAGGGAGGACACTTCACACTGAACTTCCTTCCTGAGCTTCCTCTTGTTTTTCCTGTGGCTCACACACATCTCACAGACCATGCCTTTAGGAATTAAGACATCCCTCAGGTCCTTAAACTATCAATGCTGCTGTGTGTGTGCATGTGTGCATGTTTGTACACAAGTGAGTGTGTGCTTGTGAAAGTGTTCATGTGCATGCATGTGTGTGTTACCTGTGCCTAGGTGCTGGTTTCTTCTTTACTGCTTTATGCTCCCATGCTAATTTTCCACCTCCAAAAATAAAACTGTAACTCTCTGCAAAGTGATAGACCCGGTCATTGTATAAGCTATGTCTTTATTTTTCTTTTGCTAATTATGTGTTTTAGAAACATCTAATGACCACCTAGAATCTGCCTAAAATGGTGCTAGGTAGTGGTAATTAAGTCATACACAGTACATTCACTCAACATGTTTTTTACAATCTTGTTGGGGAGCCATATATATATACAATACAAATATAAATGAGCATTTCCAATTATAAATGCTCATTTATATTTGTATTATATATGTTTCTTTGATGAAGAGAACCAGGTGCTGAGCAA